TTTAATAGTCATAATTATATTTGACCAATACTAGGACAAATGAATCCAAAAAAATAGGTACCATATTATTATTTGGTTAGACAAGAAGATCAAATATCATTACCTAATGGTATGAAATGGTTATATTCACATTTTATCAACTTCCATATTTTTATAAGTTGCCAATAGCATTTTTAAAGGATTACACGCATATATTTAAGAATGTTTTTGAAATTATATATAAAACTATTACTGGTAAAAATGATGAATTAAGTACTAAAAAAGACTTAGTTGTGTGCAGAATGAAGTAAAATATGTGGCTGCTTCATGATGGAAAAATTGATCATAGAACTTGGACATTAACAAGTCATCAAAATAAATTATTTATTGATAATATAGAGGCTTTTAAAGTGTTTACAATATATGGAACTGAATTTTCAAATTGTATAGATGAGAAAGGTAATTTAATAGGTATGAAAACAACTGGCTTCATTTACTATGAGTACGTTTCTAAATTTACTAAAATGTTAATTAATATAGTTATTAGGATTTTTATCCCATTTTTATAATGGGAAACACAACACTAGAAAGTAATATATTTGCTTGGAGAAGTTTTATGGTACTAATTGATTTAATTTTTTGAATTCAATTAATTTTAATTTTAATTAGATTTTTAACTGCTCAAGAAGTAGATAAATCTTTGATACTTTTTATGAAAGAAAAGTTAATCATATGTGTGTGTTTATTGGAAGTAACATTACTTACAATAGTTATGACAACACAAGCACATTTTTGTCGCAAATATGACTTCAGGTATCAAAAGATATTTGTCAACCAATCCTTACATACACTCTCTCCATATTACCATAATAGCAAAAGGTTACTACTGTTAGTTCCCTTATGGTCTCCACCCAAGCTAGTTGAGAAACTGGTTAGCACATATGCACTTAAGCCAGAAGGGCACTAAAGAAGGAAATCCTAAGTTATTATTAAATCAAGCATACTAAACATGGTAACGAGAAACTCGTGTTGTTGATTTGCACTTGCTAGTGTTAAGAACCCTTGTAATATTGAGCTTCGTCCCTCAATATTCACTAAACGATAGCTTACTGTGTTTGCCAAATACCTGTAAGCAACCAAAGGGAACGACTCGAGAGACGATCCATGGGGTTCAAATATAGAGGGAAAGGGCCCATGAACAAGAGTGCACCCCCTTTTCCAATCGGTTAAGGGTCTTGGGATACTTGGGGTTAAGCGTCCTTGGGTTTGAATAGTACTGGGCTGGGTGACCTCCCGGGAAGTCCAAAACTCAAGAGCTTACAATACCCTCACTATCATGTTCTTTGTATTAATCTCATTTTAGTCCCAAATGTTATTTATGAAAAGTGTTTAGATTTGCTCATTTGACATATTTACAGAATGTAGAGATTGTCTTGAACACAATGGTGTTTGTCCCATGTTCAAATTCACAATTTAGGGGGATTCCACATTTAGTAAGTTTCGAGCTTGTCTCAGAAACTAACTCCTAATACTAAGGGAAGCTTGGGTGAAAGCCCAAAGCATGTGTTCCTCAGGGGGGGGGGGAGGGGGAGGAGGTGTAGCAGGATATAGGGGGTTCCAAATGTATAGTAGGGATAATGGGTAGGTTGGGCATAGCTGACCAACTTGGGGCATAATCTAGCTCTCGTTTGTGTGTTTATCTTTATTCTACATCCGGCTTGGGTTTAAACCTAAGTTCCAGGTGGAGTACTTATATCTTTATGTTAGGCCACCGATATGCTGAAATAACGCCAGACTCCATTTGGCACCATTTTACGTGTTGGTTCTGGCATTAGGATGTTAGATGCTCTATAACTATTCCAAATCGCTTCATGCTTCTATCTTTTCACTCTTTGGGCTATACGCTTGGGATTCATTCCATGCTCTAGTGCCATTACTCTTTGGTTCTATATTTGGGAGTTTGGCACCATTCTTTCATTCAGTGGCCTAAGGCTTTGAAACTCAAGCTCCACTCCACTATCTTTTGGACACGTGGCATGTGACACATGGTATATAAAGGGTTTAGGTTCCGCTTCGTGGTTATCCTATGGTAAATCACCATAGGATAAAGGGTGAAAACCACATGCGCTACAATTAGTATCAGAGGATGAGTCTTAGCAAGTACTATCCAATGAGATTGGGCAACTAATTTCGTTGAATATGTAGAGATGAAAATGATGATCCGAGTGGGTACACGTTTGGGTGCAAAGGCTTCACATTTGTTTCTTGGGTATGGATTTGGTTGCATTTTTGTACCTTATTATATGAGTTTGCTCTTGGGCTCCTAAGAAGGACTGAGATGTACCATTATACACAAATTTGTGCTTAGGCTCGTGAGTGAAGCACATTAGCAACTCGAGGTTACACTTTGAGTTAATAGGATTAATATTAACCTATCAGTGGTTCCATAAATGAT